ATTTAATCTAATCCCTAGGGTTTTAAACACTTATTTCTATGACTATTGCAATCACTTATCAGGTATCGTTTTTAAGGAGAATGAAAAATGCAGAAATCTTGTAAGAAAATAAGGATTCTTTTTTGTTTCAATTCAATATTGTTTAATTTTGCTGGCTTATTTTCATTAAGAAAATTGTAGAAATACAAATTAAGATTTCACATTATTGAATTCAGATAAGGTACAAAGACAGAGCAGCAACAGTTGCACAGACAGAGCGGCAACGGTTGAAATGCTAATTATAACCATTGAAAAGCTAATTATAACCATTGAAATGCTAATTATAACCATTGAACAGCCAATTAGATAAAGTTCTGTTTTGATAGTTTAACAAAATCATTACAAATTAATTCTTTTTTTAAGAATTATTTTTGTCTGAATAATTTATTTTTGAATTCCCCCTACCATAATAATGACACAATCATAGTAAATTAGATGAGATTCACATTAAGATTTTTGAAGCCAGCTATGGTCTTGATGAATTCTCTTTTTTCTAGCGATAGTTAACTTAAGTTCATAATACAATTTTGAGACATATCCAACTTCAAGTTCATGCTCATAGGCATAAAACCATGTCTAGTAAAAGGAAATATCATCTATTCAAGTGTTTAAGATATTTCCCTTTCAGTCATTATGATTAAAGTTTAATCCAATAGTAATTAATATTTTTTGATTTGTAAATGATATTGAAGAAAAGACAATCAATCCGGCTCCTGCCTAATCCAAAGCATAAATACAAGGATGTTGATGTTTCAAAATCATGTTTTGGAAACATTTTCAGTTTAATCTACTTAATAGTTGTAATAAGACTTCTTTGATATTGAAGAAGCAGTTATTTTGGCACTAGCTTAATCCAAATCATAAATAAGAGGCAGGAAATACAATCTTTGATGTTTTATAATATGTATGTATGTACTTTTAGTCAGAAACATTTTTTTGTTGAGACAGGAGAAAAACAGAAAATTTCCACAGAATGTTTTGTTGTATTGTTTAGTAAAACTGAATGAATCAAGAAGGAATTTCCAAATAAACTACAAGAATGACCAGTGCCAAAAATGAATACACTTGATTCTCTTCAATAAAATAGAAATACTATCTCTATGAACATGAACTTGAAGTAATATTTGAAGTTGAATACTTGAAGTACCAAAAATGAATAAACCTTATTCTTTATAGAAATAATATGCCTATGAGAATGAACTTGAAGTCATATCCAGTGCCAAAAATGAATAAACCTTATTCTCTTCAATTAATTAGAAATAATATGTCCATAAACATGAACTACTGTAATTTGAAACATAATAATGCATTCAATTTACTTGTATGTTCTTCATGTTTCAAATTGTCTCATTCTTAAACTAAATAATTTCCACAATATGGTTGTAAATAGTTGCAACCATTTGGTAAAATGCAACTTAAACAATCAATGGTTTGTAATGGTTGCAAATGATTCCATAATTTCAATGATATGCAACCAAAGTTTTCAACCAAATTTTAATGGTTGCAATGTAATGGTTGGAAACCATTTCAATTGGTTGCAGCAATGGTTATGCAATGATTTGTAATGGTTGCGCAATGGATTTTAACGGTTGAAATTCGGAAAAAATGGTTGTTTTTTTCCTAAGGGATGTAAGGAATAGTAAGGGGAAGCCCATGATACCAAGTAATATCAAATAATTATAGGAGCTTCTAACTTCTTCCGCATCCCCACCCTTGGTATACGCAGCTGACAAAATGGATCGGTACGGGTCAAAAGCTGGACCGGTACGGGTTAACGGTTTTATTTGAATTTAAAACAGCTATAACTTGCTCAATATTGACTTCTTCGTATCTAAGTTGAAATATATGATCCCTCCGAATGATTTTAAGTACCCCCAAAGTTCACCCGTACAGGTCCAGCTTTTGACCCATACCGGTCCATTTCGTCAGCTGCGTATACCAAGGGTGATCCCACATACTTTGTTTTTACAGACTCAGAAATCAATGTTCGCTATGTAGCAATATAATATGAGCTTTCGTGTACTCAGATCCTCCATTTGTAAAAAACAATTGAAGAACAGCATAATAGAAAGTCAAATACAAAATTGATTTGCGCCCAAAATAGTTTGGGTAATGATTCCCGTCACTACCATGCATTTGTCCCCAAAGCAAGGTATTCTGATGGGTAAAATCTTGAAACATCCCCCTCCCCTACTAAAAATGATTTGAATTTGGTTTAAAAATATATACCCCAAGAACACTTTAAGGTATCATAAATTATTGAGGTAGTTATTAGTTAGAAAACACCGTGCCCTTATAGTATTTATTACAATTCTAGAACAATTTCATGGAACGACTCATAAGGAAATTGTTTTTGTAAAACATTTCACTTGTTATTATTAGTTTCAGGTATTTAATATGGATAGCCCAAGCACGAGTGGTTTAGAAACTACTGTCAGAAGTCTAGATGGCTCATTTTTCGATGACTCATTTAATGTGAGCCATGAAGTTGTTTTTTGGTTCAAATTTTAATTCACCTGCAATGCCGGACAGCCCTACAAGCTATTTCAAAACATTTATTGTCATTAAACGTAGACATGTATGTGCCATACATGAAACATCTACAAAATAGCAAACTATTCTTTAACATACTACTTTAAGATGACAAAAACAAATGTCACGTGAGTTGTATTCTGCCTTAGCTTGCAGAATTGTCTCAAGTGAATAAAAATATTTTAGACTCGCGCACCCATCCTTCGTAAAATTCGATTTACTCGCGCACACGTCATTTTGCGAGACACAAAAGTGCGAATTTCTCTTTAACCGGGACACGCTTGGATGAGATATTTGGTGAATTAGATCGTCTTCAGACATTGATGGTACGGGACAAGTTTCACAGAGATACAAAATCTTAAAACATGTAAAAAGTGTGATTACAAACCTCAAGCGAAAGAAAATGCGAATCACTCGCGCACACGTCATCCATGAAGTCACGTGACAGACTATACCCAGGGTGTTTTTACAGTATATATCTGAGGCCTTGGCATACATTATAAAATGTTTTATAATCCCCCAGTGTACTAATGTTGGTAATGCCTAGTGTATATGTAAATATAACTTTTACTATCTTAGCTACTTATTCATGCAAATGAGTGAATAAAGATGTAACAAAACACAAGAAACTTTATTTTACTGTATACCCGGGCCTCAGGTATATATTGTTAGAAATAGTGAACAAAATAACCATTAATTTGGTCATAATAGTGTGTTATTCCTATAGTTTATGGTACATTCTCATCAATCTGACTGGATATATGTAATAATATTTTCATGGTAGAATATCTAATATACATATGTTTAGATTAATTTAGGTTTATGATTAGGTTTAATGAAATTAGGAATTTTTTTCCAAATTAGTTCTTTCGATTCAGAACCATAATATACATCGAATAAAGCCTTCTCGAGAGGTTTTTGTACTTTAAACCATACAAGGCATTTGCTTATGAATGTTCAAATGTGAATTAAAAGTGGTTCCTAAGGTGTAGCTGGGATTCATCCAACATCACACTACCCTACCACGTGACCACGTTTAAAAGGGAAACAGGGTACAGCTAAGTTGCAAATGGTGGACGTGGGTTTAATTCCATATTTCTGAACGTAAAATACATTTTACATTTATTTCTAGTATTCTACCAGACATAGAATTGATTCATCGAGCAGTTTGTAGAATATTGTTGGCAAAAAACCACTATAGGCAAAGATAGATAATAGTGGGCGCAGTGAAGCAAAACCCAATGCAATACACGATACATTTCAGTAAATCTATCAACGTACAGGGAGCATGTAAGTTTCCCTTCAAAAATGTTACATTGATATGTAACCAAAAAAACAGTTAACTGTTATTTAAACTGCGTGTCATCATGTTATATGTGGATACGTTTTCCAGTATGTTATTCAACTGTATTTTTGTGAATTAATTGTTTTTCTAAAATCTTAAGATGCAAAAAACGTCGTCCCAGAAATGTATCTTTACTTTGCCGTAAGGCATAACATATTGTGAAACATTTTTCCTCTTGTCACAAACAGGATAATGTTTGTTTCGAGGTGTCTTGTGATGAGCGTTTCATGATTAAATGCAAAATCACTGGAGCAGATACCATCCAAAAACATCTGACATTCAACACGTCATCTAAGACTACATCGATCTGGTATTAGTTTATTTTACAATAATAGAGAAATACGATGTCAAATCAGCGCTACAGCAAATTGTGAAGAACAAAATGCTCTCAAGTCGTGGCATGATGGTATTTTGAACAAAATATTTTAAATGATCGGTTTTTGAGAAGGGTAGTGAATTAGACCATTCAAGGGGTTATATAAATCTACAAAATAATGTTTACTTTATTTGGATTAAATAACAATTGATGACACCTCAAAGCATCAACAGGCGGCCTTTTTAGCATTATTTTCGCTGTTGGCAACGTAAATGTACATGAGATCGGGACATAGTATGTCTGTATAATCAGCTTACTTCCTCGCTCCCTGTACTATTGAGCAATTTACATTCCTTGTACCCTGTATTGATCAACTTTTGCAACTGTGTACCGTGTACTATGACATATCAAATATTTTAAAATTTAAAACGATATTATTTACATTCTTTCTTCAACTATCATATAACTTGGAACATGGACTTCACTATCGCACCACTGAAGTTCAGCGAATAGCAATATTGACTCACTCCGAGCACCAAACGTATTAACCTTTTGACTAAGCAGTCGAAATACTCAAAAGCGACGTGGTTGAAAGCCAAAAAATTCGCGCATGCGCTATCGAGGTAGGGTAGTGTGAACATGACCCAGGATTTAACAATACTATATATATAACATATATAGTACATAGTACATACACATTTAACTTAGTATATGTATATTCCTATGTAATGGATACATGAATAATTATTTTGATTTGTGCACTTCTAGGATCAGATGCTAGTTCTGATGCTCATAGTATAGGTGGCGGTAGCGTAGACAGTGATACAAATAAGGGCATATCGAAGAAGAACACGCTATTAGCAGCTGACGAGAGTGGCTCTAACTTGAAAAAAGCATTTAGTAGAACTAAACCAGATGAAATGCAGATGGAAGACCCAGTATTATTAAATCCTGACTCGTTATGGAAACGAGCCAATCAGGGGTAAGTATTTTTAAGTCACTGTCAAGTTAAATAAGTTATCAACATTCAATGTCTATGTTTGATGCGAGACTCATTTCTAAATAGATTATATGGCCTGCTATTTTGTAATTCTTCCTTTTTGCAAAATTTTGTACTGTGCATTATTTTGACATGCATTTCCCCACTTCTCTCTCATTCTCTCTATTTGGCGTCTCCACACCTGTGCCCCCTTTGTCTTGAATTTTCGGGTCAAACGGTTAACCGCGGTACGCGGTTACCGCGGTTAATGATGCTAGGACGGTATTTTCGGTTCATAAACATGAGATTCGGTTCATCCACGGTTCGAGGAAAAATTGAAAAATCAAATTTTTTAGACTTCAATATTCTCTCTTTCGTTCGACATGAACTTATTCTTCATGTATATATTCCTTAAAAACATGTTTATAGCAATAGAGAACATTCAATTCTTACCTTAGATATGAAACAGATCGCTCACAAATCGATAGACAAGTAATTGTTTACATTTTTGTGACATATAAATAGACCGGAAGTTGGTCTCGCCAGATTACGCTATTCATTTTTTTATTTATTTTATTTAGATTTTATTTATTCAGGGATATCTAATAAGAAATACATATGTTTTCTTGTTTCCATAAGAACCCTGCAGACACACATACACACTACGTTTAACAATAAAATATGTGACAATACATATCATAAAATTAGAAATTTGTAAAATCAGTACATAATATGTGTAAAAATACTATATGACTAGTCGATAAAAATAAGCATTAAATTGTCACACTTGACATTTGAGCATATTAAGACATGTAAAATTACAATTATTCACTAATTGAAGCAAGGAATTGCTTTTTTAGATGAACTTTAAAAGATTGCACTGAGGCAGATTCCTTTAAATCTAAAGGTGCCTTGTTCCAGAGAACAGATGCTCTGTGACTAAAAGTTTGTGTGCCTGCATTATTACAATTTTGTTTAATAAAAATACATTTGTTAGTTGTAGCACGAGTACCATAGTTGTGAGTGTCCTTAGTTAAGGTAAAACTGTCCTGCATATAAGTGGGAACCAGTCCATTCACTACCTTATACATTAGTGTCAGGTTGTGCATGTCCTGTCTCTCTCTTATGGATGGCCACTTCAGAGTATTTCTAACATCCTGGGATGGGGTACGTGGGGCACATTTAACTATCAATCTACCAGCACGGTTTTGGAATCTCTGAATTTTATCTAAGAGTTGTGAGCTGCATCCAGAGATGACAGCATCACCATAATCAAAAATGGGTGTGATGGTAGATTGGATTAAAAGTTTGGTTGTATTGAGGGTAAGAGAATCTCTCACTCTCCCAATGACCCCTAACCTTTGTGACAATTTTGTACAAGTTTTGGTTATATGTGTTTTCCAAGTGAGTGTTGGATCAAACCACAAACCAAGATATTTGAAAGCGTCGACTTGTTCAATTTTTTCTCCATTTATGACTATGTCGTCACCTTCATCTACCTTTGACAGTTTCTGGGATGACCCATACACCATGAATTTAGTCTTCTTGACATTTAATGTTAATTTATTTGAGCACAGCCATTTGTGTACCACATTCATATCAGCTGTTAACTTTGCTTTAATAGAGTGAATATCTTTGGCATGGTAAAATATGGCAGTGTCATCTGCATAGAGAGTGACTTTTGAGTCTTTAATTTGATTTTGGAGGTCGTTTATGTAGAGAATAAAAAGCAGAGGCCCAAGTACAGAGCCCTGAGGTACTCCATACTCGACTGGTAATGAAGATGACACTTTGCCATTTATACTTACACATTGACTTCGACCAATAAGATAACTGCTGAACCAAGACAATTCTTTGTCTCTGACACCGATGTTTTGCATTTTCATGAGCATTAGGTTTACATCGACGGTGTCAAAGGCTTTTTTCAAATCAAGATATACTACACCCGTTAAAAGCCCATTTTGGGTGTTGTTAAGTATATAATCAGTAATATTTACAAGTGCGGTCTGCGTGGAATGTTTGGGCAATCATAGTACAATTAATTTTGCTTCGTGGAGGTGTTTTGTCTGTTATAATGAGTTAGTTTTTAATCAATATTATTTAAAAAATACTGCAATTACAGAAATTATAACATTACTAATGTCTTTGTTAAAAACTTGAAACATATTTGTGTTTAAATCTCCCGCACAATCGCAGCGCCATCTGTGCTGATTCAGCTGCTTTGACAGACTACAAGAATCCCGGGGCTATGTTACTGCTTGTGCTACATGTAGATCTCAGCTCTTATCTGACAGAAATCTTATCAAGGACAGAAAAATCTAAAGTTTAAAATTTAAAGTGGGCCACCACTAGGCCAATAAACTTTGCTTTGTCAAGTCAATTTAAAGCTAAAACCTGTTTTTTTATGAGCTGTCTTTACAATTTTACAAGGAAATATTACCAATTTACGAGAACCGTGAAAGAACCGAACCGTGAACCTAAAAACCGTGACCGAACCGAACTGTTGGAATTTTGAACCGTTTGACCCCTAGGGTCCAGTGTCACAAGGGATTGATAATATGGGGCCTGGTACTTAAAATGTGAATTTAGATCAGATTACATTCCCGAAAGAATTCTTGAGAAATATGCAATTTATAGTTTTTATGTCATCACCTCATATGACATATGTTATTAGTCTCCAACTTTTTTGTTGAGGGTGTTTGGGGTTCAGCGGTTGGTGTCTGTAACATGGTATCTGTAACAATTGGCATCTAACAAATGGCAGGTGGTGACATTTTGAATGTTAATGCCTTATATTATGATGTTTTTGCTATTGCAGAGAGCAAAATATTGTGTTTTGATTTCTCAGAATCTGACTATACATCCTGGACTGTATGAGCTGAGAGGATGTTCTCAGTTTAGTATATCAGTTCACCAATTAGGTGTTTTCCTTGTGATAAACAAAGACCCCTTAGCCCCACTTATACTGTATTGCGATTGTATATTTCCAGGAAAATGTGTCTAGGTCATGTCAACGAATTAGGACAATTTATATCAGAATTTGATCCAGAACCAGATTTTGATAAAAAGAAACAAAAGAAAAGTAAGTAATGTAAAGCTATTGAAGTTCTGCTTTATCATTATCATTTCACTGGAAGACCTTGAATTTATATGCCTCTGACTGACATCAGTCATATCATATCTTTATTCCTAATTGGTCAAGAAACATATTAATCACCATGGAATTTATGTATCACATATTTTCTTAGGTAAAATGAAAAACTAAGAAACAACCATCATCTAACTCTCAATCTGTGTATTTCAGTCACACTCATAAGCATACACCCATCTGCAGTCTGTATTTTAAAACAAGATAAGAATCGCCATTATATTATATTAAGCCATTAATGATTCAAAGTGGTTAGTTTTATTGAGCAGATACACACAACAATTAATTAATTCACATTGGTTTTTTGAGATGATATATGAATGTATACAGCTGGTTACCATGACATTAGTGTGATGATACAGAAAAACTTGTGATATATGAATGCTTCAAGTACTCATCATCACTTTCCATATTGGTTCTAGGTAGGAACAACTGTAACCTTGTGATTGACTTATTTTTTGAAAGATGTTCAAATTAAGATGTGCAGATAAAATGGAATGGCGATCAGAATTCAAAATTTGGACTGAAAAAGTGTTTTCATTTTCAGCGTTCACTAATGTGTGGTTCCTATGTACAAGGTTCACTGTACGTGCATATTGCATACCAGTACTAGGAAAACACAGTATTTTACTAGAAATATCTCCATCCATAATTATTAATTTCATGTTTTATTTTTTCAGCTGGAAAGTCAATTTTTAAGAGAAAAGATAAAAAGGTGCGTAAGATTTTTGTTATTAACAGTTCAGAGGAGATAGATATGCCCAACAACAATAATGCCTTGGTCCAAGCCTGTACATGGTAGTTTCATAAAGTTTCTGGTTTAAATCCCAAAATATTAAAGAAAGAGCTTTGTCTAAATGTTAGGGCTGTGAGTTCTGGTAAACAAAATTGCATTTAGAATAGATTAAATAGTTGAAATTAAATAGGAAATATCATTCATCTAACTGATATTGTATATGTAGTTTATCCGTTTCCAATTGAACGATTTTATATGTCAGCTTCATGGGACTATTTTCTAGGCGGAGGAGGATGCTGCGTGGCAAGTTGCTCAGATGATATTGAGTGAAGTGACGAAAGTAACAGAGAGCGTGCAACCAGAGCCATCTTTTGAACAGAATGAGAAATCAACAGAGTCGCAACAAACTCCACCAAATACTTGATGCCAAAAACCGTAGGTCTCCTATTTATTAATTCATTGCTTGAGGCTCCAAATAGCCTAGTAATAGGAAATTTTTTGCTTGAACTAAAAGATGTCACCTTGTTTTATAAAAAACATGTTTAACATGGTTTACATGATTAACATATTTAACCTCTTGACTACCTGGAGTGACGAGATATCTTGTCACCTCAGAAATGACCTTGAAACCCAGGGTGACGAGAAAATCCGTCACCAAATTTTTCACTAAAATTGCTCTTATTTGAACAATTTTCATCCAATTTAAACAAAACTTGTTTTAAAATTTGTAGAAATGATCTCCGCCGTCTGATTTTACTAAGTTGAGCATCTAAAGTTGTATATGAATGTAGTTAAATATCAAAAGGTGGCAAAAATGAAAAATTCTCTGGTTTCAACTGATTTTAGAAACTGGGATTCAAGAGGTTAAAAAAGTTAAAAGGTCCAAGAAGAATCTGGTATATTTTTTTAAAATTATTTTATGCACTCTGTATTGTTTTGTGTATTTCCAGATGGGATCACAATGTGATTAAGCAGCTGCAATACTAAACACTCAGTGCAAATAATGTATCACCGCACAATACATGCCAATCATTCATAAACATGTAATATATGTGGAACTGTACATGTCTCTGTGTACATGTATGTCTATGTTAACATACATATATGATCAGGTGGATATGTCATATACATTCATATGATATGTGCAGATACAGTGTTCAAAAATGTACAGATGCGTATGCCCACATGTACAGATGTATATGTGCCATATACTGTATGTACAAAGTACATGTCTGTGTATGTACAAATGTATGTGTCTATATATGTACAGATGATGTACATGTTCATATGTGTAGGTGTACATGTCAATAAATGTACAGATGTACATGTCTGTCCAATTATGTACAGATGTATATGTCCATATAAGTACAGATGAACATGCCCATATATGTACAAAAAACATGTTTGTGTCTACATAGTAGCCTGGACAGCATTGTTCAGCATTTTAATTAAGTAACTTTGTTAGATCGAGGACCTACTCTCATCACACCCTGCACATTGGGGCACCACCTTTTCACGTCCTAATGAACACAATCCCGAACATTTCAATAGAGTTGAGTTCACATACCCTTGGAGGGAGTTGACCTCTTGTATTTGATGATTTGACAGTTGGCGCATTACATCAGGATTGTGGCAGGTGGCAGCTTGGCCCTATAGGCCTATATGACAATCTTTAATATTAACTTTCAACTGAACATTCAAATTCACAAAAAATGCCGCCATTTTGAACAAATATAAGGCAAAGTGATGAATTATGTATTTGCGTCAGTCATACTATGAACGCCTATAATATCAATAAATTAAGAGATGTTTCTTGAAAAAATTTTTGTGTTTCAGAATTTTACTGTAGTTTTCAAATATGTAATCAGATTTTGGTAATACTGAAAATTAAAAAAATTATTAAAGAAAAAGTGACCCTTGAACAATTCTGTCCGGGCTACTATGTACAGATGAAACTACTACAGCATTATAACCATTGATGAGAAATAGAAGATAAAATCACAAAAACTTGAATGTGGATGAAGCTTTTAATTGTGAAGGAAGTCTTAAGTCTGATAGATTCATATTTAGGTTTGGCCAGAGTCGTGGCTTTTGAGAAAAATAAAGTAAATACTAAATAGTCCACTCTTAGCAGGCTGGACCAGTTCACTAGATTTGATTTTGTGGCTTGCCATTCTTTGATAACCTGTGTTTCGGACAAGCATATTCATCAGTTGGCACCATGGAAATGCAAAGCAAGTATACCCAATAGCAGACTGATAAGACTAAAGGAATGATTAAGTATTAAGTAAAATAATTTGAAACTGACTGACTAAAACTGCTAATGGGTCAAACCAGAGATATATTAGTGCATTTTTGGAAAGTCAGAAAATGAAAGTGCTCCACTTCATGTAAATGCACATTATTGACGGAAATAAGTAAAATGTTCATCTTTGAGTCTTTTAAAGGCCATTGTTTTCTTAATGACATATCATTATATGCATGGTTACAATTGATTAACTCAAAGTTTCTGTTATGTTCATCTGGCTATTTAACTTCTTTTTGGCTGATTATACAAATATTTGTATGTGAAAGATAGTGTTGGGAACATGTTTTACTTACTAGTCAATCAATGTGATTATAGACTTAATGATTGTCACTTCTTATGGTTAAGATATGACTTGTAAATTTAATTTGTGATAATAATTTATGATTCTTAAATGCTGTCTGGAATTGAATGAATTTCCAATGGAGTAAGGTACAGTACACATTATGAGCTATTTACAATGCACAAGATAGGAGTATTGATTTAACTAATGGACATACATGGTACATATGTATCATAAATGTATTTTGTTAATTGTTTGAAACATTTAGAAATGTTAAGTTTGTCAATGAGAGGATATGCTCAACCCATGGAAGTTGACTAGACATTGATGTAAAATATTTGAACATTGGGCAGGCTGAGAATTTATGTTAACCTCTTGAATCCCAGACTCTAAAATTGGTTTGAAACTAGAGAATTTTCCATTTTTGCCAACTTTTGACATTTTAATATGTACATCCGCAACAAATGATGCTCCATTTAGTGACGTTAGTTGGCAGAAATCATATGTAAACAATTTTGTTTTTTGGTGTGGAAATTGGATGAAAATTGTTCAAATTTAAGCAATTTTAATGGGAACATTTTGTAACATATTATCTCGTCACCTTAGGTTTCAAGGTCATTTCTTGGTGAAGAGAAAATCTTGTCACTCTGGGAACTCAAGAGGTTAAGTAACCCTTCTCCAGCTGATTGTTTTGCCTGTAAGATTTATTTTATTAATTTAATGAGCATTCATCCATAAAACTAGAAAATTTTTGTTAGGTCCCACTTTATGTGACTAAGGTTTCGTAGACTAGGAGTTTCAGAAAAAGAAAATGTTCTTATTTTCTCTCAAAATAGGAGGTGTGAACAAAGAAAAGTTGAAAATGTAAGTGTATTTAGAATTAGAATAAAAATTTCAGGACTTATGGGACAACCCTCGTACTTAGTACAGTAGTAGTCAAAACAACTTAATGGGAAAGTGCAATTTAATAATCTTAAGTCTTGGTGACCAACAATCTTTGATCAACGATATAATGTTCAGATAAAGTCAACTTAAAGGCAGACCAGGGGATCTTGAGGTACAGATTTTTTGGACCAAAATAACCTATGGTGTACAGCAAGAGGATATACAGGGTGATTCAAAAATGCAATCCTGCATATCACATTTTCATCAGTCTAAATTTTTTTTATTCTAAATTCAACCCGTGTAGTTTCCAAAAAAGTTAATACAAAGTGAGTCACTTGTTGTACATTAGAAAATATAAGTAATGTCCCAAAATATGATTTACCGTATTCTGGAAGAATGTATAGTAATACATGTTAATTTATCAGACATAAAATGGTATTTTTGAAGAAAAAAATACTCCATAGCAAGGTCACAAAAATGGCATGAGCAGTTATGCCAAAGAATTAAATAAAAAATGCAATGGGCATTGTGTATTGTGTACTGATTGTGTATTGAATAAGGTAATCTGAAATGTTAATTGGGCTACCCAATTTACAATGTTCCTGGATCACCCTTCATACATGGATAGATTGGTCAGCCTGTATATAATGTATACAAGGTAGCTGGGGCACTCTGTATCCACAGGGAGATATGCCGATTACTCAATTAGTATAAAATTAGTACTAAATTGGCACTCTGGCATAAGCGCGCTCATGAGCACTCATGTCACGAGTGCTAATTTAGTACTAATTCATGAAATGAGTACTCATTTAGTGCTGAAATATCAATTTTATTAGTACTATTTTATCACTCATGATATGAGTACCAATTTAGTGCTGAAAATCAATGAAATTACTGCCAATTTATCACTCATTATATGAGTACTCATTTAGTACTAAAACATGCAATAAATCAGTGCTCATGTCATAAGTGCTCATTTAGTACTAATATTTACTGAAATGAGTACTCAATAAGCGCTAATATGCCATGAGTACTATTTTAGTACTCAGCATATCTCCCTGTGAGGGGTTATTGATACATGGTTTATCCTGAGGAAGGGTTAACTCTGAATCCAAATGAACCATAAGTAACAGACGTATCCCATACCTATTGAGATTCTAGTTACATTCTACCTTCTCAGGTTCCGAAATTTGAAATATTTCACTATTTTTCAAAAAAGGGCTGGACTTGGATGGAAACAGCTGACCCGGACTTCAGCAATGTCAAAATACTGTAGATACAAAAATATAGATTTGGTTCCCTAGACTGTTCATTCCTTCACATGACATGTGTGTACCTAGAACCTTAAAAGGTATTGAATACGGCCAGTGCATATGTGTAACCCTATATATGATTTATAACAATGTGAATACCCTGTATATGTAAGATGCATTATGAATAAATTCCTGGTTACCCTGTACTATATGCCCAATGATATTTGAATGTTGATTGAATGCATTGTTCTTGTTAAGATGATATGTAAAATTGTTAATATGAAAATAGAATAAAGTATTTAATATATAGAGAAGAATGTTTTCGTTTTCCTGTTTACTCTTTTGAACATTGTTCTTTGTGACTCTTAGGAAGTTTGTAACTATTTGCAAATAATTAGAATAACCCACCAGGTGCTGACATTTTTAGTTTCAGCATTTTTTCAAAATATGGGCAAAAAACTTATTATGCTTATCTTATGATGATGTGATAATATACTCCTCAAAAAAAGTTAGGACCATTGGTTTTCCTCATAGGTTTACATGTTAACCACATAAAATTCAAATCAGAAACTTCATGACATGTAGCAAAATACTCTAAATATTCTGGTTCCACAATGTGACCATGTGCTTAAGATTTAAACCAAGAGTTTGCAACACCACGAATTCCATCATAACGAAACTTCTCCAGCAAAATAGTGTGATCAACCGTATCAAAAGGAAAAGACCAATGTAGAATTTATTATCATTGAGAGAATCTTGAAGTGATTTTAAAAAGGTGAGTTATTATTCGAAAATGAAATTAAAATGTTGCTGCTTGCGCCTGTCGCCATTTCAATCAATTCACCTGACCTATTTTTTAGGTTCATTTTCATTTCAGAGTCAACCATTTCAAGCAATTCGGCCATTTCGCTCCCGTTTCAAGTGACAAGTAATAAATACTTATGAATGACATTATTATTACAACATTAATGCCATTAAAATGAGTTTCAATATATGTGTTGTGCAAATATGTCAAAAATAAATAAAATTAAATGGAGGGGGAGTGAACGAAGGGGGTATTAATATGTCTATGAGACATGATAAGAGATGTTACTTAACTTTATTTCTTATAACTCCAAATTTCACAATTTTTTAACTTCATATTTAAGCAATTTGAATGACTGACTGTTGAATATAAATATTTTGATTGTAAATTCAATGGCATTGAGGACTGTCAATAGATGGCGAAAAATTCAGTGGGTTTAATAGCATACCTTAACATGTAAAAATTGCTCCAAAAAACTCCCAAGATAAATTTTGTTGAAAATATCCAAAAACTTTTGATGAAGGAAAATATGATATTTATTTGATATGTGTAGTGAATTTGAAGTTTTAAAACAGTAATGTTTACACACAAACCAATGGGTCAGATGTGAAAAACAACCTAGTAGTTAATTGCCATCTATCAGTCTATATGAGTCCTGGCTCTCATTGGAATAATCAATTATAAGTTGATCTGCTTTATGTAAGACCATTGCTCCCCACAAAAAATAGTATTCCCATCTAACATAGTGAGTGAAAGCAAGAGCACAAAAGTTATGGTACAAGGCAAAGATTATGGTACAAGGCAAAGATTATGGTACACTGCAAAGATTATGGTACATGGCAAAGCCATCCTCCTAAGCAGGTATTCAGAATTCGTACCTCCTTCTTCCCCCTGCTATAACCAATTTGGAAGCGCCCGATTAAACTGAATCACATGATCTTATTATGCTCAATGGCTTATACATGATTTCTGTCGCAGTGTTGCGACAGCCAATCAGATTGCGAGTTCTTAATCGGGGAAATGCTAACTGCTTATCGCAGGGTGTAAAAAGAAAGAATATATTCTGAATTTTGAAGCCCTGTGATCGGAGGATGGGCAAAGCTAGTGTTACATAATTGTCATCAATCTGTTTTCAGTACCCCAAATTGTAAATTACAATACAATATTTTTGGAGCAACTCATTTAATACTTATCCTGATACAAAAAAACACTTTAATGTCTTTCAATATGATGATGTCAATCAATACAATTATCTCATCAATGAAATAAAATATTTAACAATTTTATTATTATCAATATTGTATGTCTATAAATTTATTAATTAAGAAACAGTATGGCATTCAACACAATTCAATACATTATCAATACAATAATGGCAATATCAATTTACCCTAACTTAACACAGTACATCACATTGAGTGCACTTCAACTTTTGCACATTTTGTTTCTCACTCTTACCAAGTACATCTTACTTAAAGGCCCTGTGTAAGATTTAGTTTAATCATTCAAATAATTAAACTTTATATGGGGTCTTTAAGAGTTTCACATTTATATATTTCATGATTTCATTTTCGCTTTTACATCTATGTTTTTTACATCTACCTATTATCACTACACATTGACAATCCATTTAACTGCTAATATGTTGTATTTCAGTTAATGAGAACAAACTAGAACAGGAAAACAGTCAAGAGCTCATATTTAATGTGTTTGATAATTTAGAGTTATGGCTCTTAATCAAAATTACCAAATCATAAGAAGTAGTTCTCCATAGAAAGAAAAATCATTTCAAGATTGAAATTCTTTATTACAGTAGTTTATAGAGTTCAAGCTCTAAACTGATATTAACAGTTTAACCAGAGTGCTTCTAAATCTGAAAAAAATAATTTCAATATGTATGACATATCTAATATAATACCACAATAAGTCACAACCAGTAATAGTTTGAGCAAAATCATTGTTGCATATATACAGTAATTACACAAGCAATTGTTTAGCAGCCGTCTTATACAGGGTAGGCAGTGTATGTGTACCTTTTCTATTTGAGTTTAAAGCTAGTTTGCTAGCCCACCCTTTAAAGAAGCTTTACTGCATGAATATGATATGATGAAAAAATAAGCTTTAGAAATTTTAAATATGTTGATCAATAAAGGTCAATCAGAGATAGATCTGTAGGCAAACTAACCCTGCCTCTTTTTTGTATCTGATGTCCCTTTAAGCATAACATTATTGCAATTTTATAAGTTGGAAACATATCAAAATAAAATGTTTATAAAAATCATGGAATGTGATAATAATATGAATTAATAATTACCCATATTCAATAAATAAAACTTGATCTCAAAAAATATTTTCACAAATGAGATTATGAAATATTGGAAGTATAGCACAAAGCAGGTCATTTCTTGAATCCATCAGGAACTTCACATTGTTATTAAAAAAAAACTGAAGTTGTATCTGATTGTCATGAAGATGTAGTTTGCCTTTTTATCCCTACCCAAATGTGCACCTCCCCAAATGTGCAAATGTTAACTCTCTCCCCAAATGTGCAAATGTTAACCCTCTCCCAAAATGTGCAAATGTTCTCCCTCTCCCAAAATGTGCAAATGTTCATCCTCCCAAAATGTGCAAATGTAAACCCTCTCCCCAAATGTGCAAATGTTAACCCTCTCCCAAAATGTGCAAATGTTCTCCCTCTCCCCAAATGTGCAAATGTTCTCCCTCTCCCCAAATGTGGAAATGTTCTCCCTCTCCCCAAATGTGCAAATGTTAACCCTCTCCCCAAATGTGGAAATGTTCTCCCTCTCCCCAAATGTGCAAATGTTCTCCCTCTCCCCAAATGTGCAAATGTTCTCCCTCTCCCCAAATGTGCACTTCCCCAAATGTGCAAATGTTAACCCTCTCCCCAAATGTGCAAATGTTAACCCTCTCCCAAACGTGCAAATGTTCATCCTCCCAAATGTGCATTATAACTTTTGTGACTGATGTGCTATTGCAATGGTTGAACAAGAGTAGACTGGTGATAACTGTAAGGAAGTTCATGATTTAAAACAACCATATTTCAAAATTACAATGTTTTTTGTCAATGAAAGACTTTTAACCTAGGAAGACCTGCTATTGAAAATCCCATTTCTTTTGCAATTTTTGCAAGTCCTTCAGTTTCAATGTGGTGCTTGTATACAAAAGGAGGGAATGTTAAACCATCACGGTGACAATCTGCCCGAATCATCAAGACGCAGCCACCAACTCCATCTATAGGCACAACGTCACCTTCAAAGCGCAACGACCAGAGGTATCTACGTCGTGTTCTTGCATAACCTTCCACCATGAGTTGGTTGGGACTCATAGCGGCAAGATGAGCTAAAGATTCGTTTGTTTCTCGCCATGTGTTGCGATCATAATCATCCAATGAATTATCCCCTTTACGATATAGACATGATGGTACTACAACGTCTTTTTGAGCAGCGATTAAATATTGCATGACGTTAGGTGGGATTTCCCTAACATCTGAATCTATCCAAAGTACATAATCCTCATCAGAGAGGGCGCTGCTGAGAAGGCGATTTCTCGCCTTGGCAAGATGATTACGTCGTGGCCCTTGAATGAACAAATCATGACGATCATTAGTCGGCGGTTTCCAATGATGATCTAACTCATAGATGTCAATCTTACGAAAATTTGTTATTTTGCGATATTTCTGAGCTAGCTCAACAGCCGTTTTTAAAGTCTCGTCGTAACTGGAATCCTCCCCGAGGGCAACAGATATAAGATGATGGGGGTATGAAAAGTTGTTCAGCAGCTCAAAATAATGACCTAAATGTCTCTCTGCATTGTTAATAGGTGTCAGGATAAGCACTTTGTGATAATGATGAGATAACAATGTCATGTTTAATTTTGACGATTTTGTGTCGTTATACTCCTCAAGCTGCTGATCATATTCTAACTGTCCGGATATCCCAATTGCTGGATTTTCATCTACGACACCAACCAGCAAAGGATTATGGGTACTTGAAATTTCATCATTCCTTACTTTCGACATGAGAAATTCATTGTTGAAATATATTAAATACATGAACATAACAGCAGCAGCAGCAAACACCATGGTAACACACAATCTCCTTGGTAACCTCATAACTCCTTTTTCACACGAACTTGAACTCGTCAAGCTTTGAGTTGTCATAAATTTTATATTTGTATTTCCTTTAAAAAAGTCAAAAGGTGAGTGTTATTTCAATATATTTTGATCTATATGTTTTTGTGTCCCAAAGTTTGTTAGGCTGACAATCCATCAACAGTAAGTTACTCCAATATAATACTACAATGGTTGGATTGTTTTTGTGACCTGCCACTTCAGTTTGTTGATATCAATGTCGACACATTAGTCACTGCAGTAAAAACGTGTGAATAATATCAGCAACTTCTTCCATCCTCCATACATACCCTGGAGAAGATGAAATCTGGTCATTTGGACCTCAATGTTATTGTTGTAGATACATTTATTGAATACTGTCAGCAGATCGTTGAACTAAACTGTTACTGATTTGTTCCAGGAACTGTCCTCTATACATACAGTCAATCCCAAAGAAAACCAAATCTGGTCCATGTTATTGTTGTGAATACATCTATCATGTGCAGCAGATGGTGAAACTAAACTGTTTTATCCAGTATCGATACAGCAATCAGCAGCTAGTCTATCAGTCAGTGACAATAATTGATTTTTGTTGTTCCTCAGAAAATATTTCTATAATAAATATTAATAGCACCGATATAATATCCAACTCTCAGACATAAGTGTGCACTTAGGACAATTTCGATGGGATGACGGTCTGGTCCAGAATCCAGATGGTGTATGCATACATGCACCAATGTTTGTACATAACAGCTTGGTAGAGTTCCATTCGAAGCAAACCGGTATCTAATAAGGTCCGTTTCTCAACCGTGCATGTGGCTTGCATGTAAAGTTCAGTAATCTCAATTTAATTACAGATAGAGTCCCATGTGGAGAGTATCTAATTAAGTCTTTTTCTCAATGTGCATGTGACTTAAATCTCAATGTACTCACATGCTGTTTCAACCTTTCAACTGATATGTCCATCATGTCCATGTACTTAGATTTGTTTATAAGTCCTATTGAAATGTGTCTGAGGTATTTTGATAAATATGAATTATTGTTGCACTTTAGATCTTTATCAATGAGTAAATCAATATTAACTTCAGCATAGCGGGTTAATAATTGATTAATTTCTTGAATCAATAAAAATTAAGGAGTTGTTCTGTGTTGTTAAAGGACCTGTCCATTAGCCTACACATATCGGAATATATTTTCAAATTTTACATAATTTCATAATTCGAAAATATGTGTCACAGCTGCCAATAACAGCTGCCAATCACATCTGTCAATCACATCTGTTGTCAAATAATTTGATGTCTGTAAACCATTAATGATTCTTTTACACAGAGAGACTTTAACTGATTAATCTGTAATTTCCCATTTAGTCATTAAGGTCACGGTTTTCAATTATGAGTTCATTTCTGTAAAGTTGATTGCTCTCAGTTCTTCAGTCTTGTTTTGGAATGCTTATTTTATTTTAATAATCTTGAACTTCAGTTCATCCTGTTTCAAAAGTTTAAAAAAACTTCCGATGATATAATTGAGTTTATTTTTCTATCTATGTATCTTCCATCATTTGTATGCAGTTGAGCTCTTACGGTATTTGTTTAATTCCACTTAGACATTATTCTTGGATATTATTGTTGTTTCTTGGCAATCTCCTTCAAATAAAATCAGTTGCCATGGTAACAGAGTCCTCTTGGTAGACTGTTTAATCTTGAAATTGACACGATATTGACATGATATATGTCTTTTGTTTCATTTCTTCTACTTTAGAGCACTTGGGCAAACCTGAAAGCATAAATCAGCAATGATTAGGCCAAGGTGAATAAACTGAAATGATAAATCATACTTAATATATATTATTCACATATATATACATATTCACACAACTATTTCAAAATACATATATTAAATGATGTCAATGCTACATTTATGAAAAATAATGTGACATTGTGATTTAACATATTCCCGGTACATGTATTTCGACTAGCAATTCTCAATGATGAAGCTATTTAGAGATTATCCTATATATGAGGTTTGGGATATTGGGATTAAACTGATGCAAATATACAGGGTGGACAATAAAAAATTAGACACTTTGTATCATTCTTAAAATATTTAGGATCACATTGATAAACCATGTGAACTTTAACATACATGTACAGAAAAGTTCAAACTATATACTCCCCAATAGTTATGACATTTGGTTCACATATGCTCTTTTAAACAGTGTGGCAGCTAAGGATATTTTCACTCTAGCCAAATTTGACCACTCACTTTGAATTCAGACTCGCCAAAATATTTTATGACTGGACATTTTTTGGCCACACAACAAGAATTTCACACTCGCCAAAAATGTTTTTGTCAGGCCATATATATTGGTTGAATTTATGGAACGGCAAGAATAATTTTGTTCGTAGTTCAAGCTGTATTATGTATTGCATCGAACACTTTAATTGGTCCACCACTTAGTTTTAAGCCAATCAAAGGTTCGTTTTCATTGAATTGCGGTCCGGAACATAAAAATAAATAAAAAAAAATTTCCTGCTTTTACAAGTATTTTAGCGATTCTAGAGGTAAGATTGACAAACTATTTGTTTAGAAGGTTAAGCATATATCTGTTTCTCATGGGCTCAATTATCTATCGCCGAAATTGTCGAGACAAATTGCATTTTCCTTCGCCAAAATTTTTTCGACCCTTGTTTTGGCGTTTGGCGAGGCCTTAGCTGCCACCCTGTTAAATAGAATATATATGAGTTTTCCATTTTTTGCCCACCCTGTAGTATCTGCCCACACAGCTGGAATGTTAAGCTATATCTTTCCTGCTGTTGAAAATACAATATATTACAAACATGCCAAAATATATATAGACACATCTAATATGAGACAAAAAACATTTACCTAAATGATGAAGTATGAGGCAGAAAATATTAATATATACTTTACTCCCACTAATATTTGACGCTATTATATTTCACGTTTTTGGCATTTTGAAATTTCGCGGCTATTAATCTCAGCGGATTTGTCATACAGGATCGCTCTTGCGACTTTGATATCAGACATGGTTGTTCCTTCGCCCAATTATTTTGAGAAAGTAATAACGATCTCTCTTCTAATTTCTCTTTTTCAAAACTCAAAATGTCACTTTTTAACTATTATCGCCCAGCACAGGACGAAAATATTGTCAAATTGAGATCCCGGGAATTTCCTTGGAATTTCGCGACTATCAAATTTCGCGAATTAAAACTGGAGGAATTTCGCGGCTATTATATTTCGTGAATTTTCCAAAACTTGCGAAAGAAAAAGCTGAGCTCGACCAAATATCACCAAATGAACAAATGAAAAAGTGCAACAAACATTGACACCAAATGATCATAAAAATGACTCCCAAAAAAATATCACAAAAGGTTGCTTTAACGATATGTCACCAAATCTAGATTTAACATCAAAAGCCTTATATGCCTCTGGAATGCTACCCAAATCAACCTCCAAAATAGATGTTAACGTATAGTGATACAACTCAATATACGTTTAACATTAAAAGTAAAACATATGTTTAACATAGAATTCCATACTCTAGCCTCGCTTGAGTAAAACCAGGTGGAGGCAGCATCTATTGAATCCCTCAGGTTTTCAATGAGGTTCACTTTTTCAATATTATAAATTGTGGGAAGAGTGTTGAATACAAAATCTCTCAGGGGTGGGAAGTTTCTACTTCAGATATATATTATGATGCAGTGTAACTCATGGTTGCATCAATATATGAGCCTGGCCTAAAATTCTGCTACAGAGCCAAAAATGATTAAGAAGAAAATGTGCTAAATTCAAATCCGACTTTTTGGTCCATATATGCAAGGGAAAATTGTTAAAACACAAGCCACTGCTCATTTGAAAGGTCTCTTTATGCTTTATTTTAAGATAAACAAAAAATCAGATTATTGAAAAGATTTGTGATAAGACCCCTTTTCCTGTGGCCTGGCTCATATACAATTTGTACGCTATTAGCAATGAACTTGAGAAAACTAGGTGCTATGCCAATTGACTGAATAAACTCAAGAACTGAAGAATTACCTGAACTCTCTGATGAGCTGGGTTTGGTGACAATAGATCACCTGTATGATAGACATGGGAAAGTGACTATAGAAAACCTGGTCCATGTATACACAATTAACAAAACTGCATTAACAACTATTATTACCACCTAGCCGGGCCTGTTCTAGGGGTATTAGTGCTAGTTTAGAAGGCTTTCATTTTATACTATATTGACATGATAAGCAATATGTGACTTCATAGTGGCGGGCCAAAATGGATATTTCAGCCTGGCAATGTTCCCTGGGAAATTAGATATCGTTAAATGTGTATAAATTTTCTTCAGTGGCAGTATATTCTTGCTATTTCAGCCCTGGGCATAAACGATGGTAATAATGCTACTCATGTCATTTCTGCAGGCAAAATAGTGAACTATTGGACCTTGAGCCTTCGGCCCTTGGTCCAATATTTCACAAAATTTTAAGTCCAATATAGAAACCTTTTATAGGCAAAGTAATGTGTTTTTTAAAAATGCTGCATTTAAAACTCATTCATTCTGTGAGTAGTGAAAGAAAAGTTAACGTCCACTAAAGTAACATTCTATAGGCAAAGTAACGTGTTTCAAAAATGCCTGCATATAAAATCCATCAATTCTTCACAGAGAAAAGTTAGAATCCAATAAAGTAACATTTAAAAGGCAAAGTAACATGTTTTGAAAATGTACAGTCCATATAAAAATCATTCATTCTTCACAGAAAAAACCTTTAAAAGTTCAAAAGTCCAAACTCTCATTCGTTCTGTGAGAGAAAAGTTAACATCCACTAAAGTAACATTATATAAGTAAGGTGCTTTGAAAATGCCTACATATAAAATCCAGCCATTCTTCACTGAGAAAAGTTAGAGTCCAATAAAGTAACGTTTCATAGGCAAAGTAACTTGTTTTGAAAATGATGCATATAAAATCCATAAATTCATCAAATTTGGCTGCATATAAAAGTCATCAATTCCTTGAATTATTCTTATTAATATCGAACCGAAAAAAAAGGTTACTTTAAAATGGCAATATTTTATGTCCCTAAGCATGGGCTTTCAACAGAATGGTATGCAACTTCCAACATTTCATATATAAGTATATTGTCTTGGGTTTTCAAAATTGGAGAAAAAATTACTAGTGTACACATTTCAAGAAAATTCTTATTTTGTACTTTTCATGTATTAAGAAATAACTCAAAAATAAAAACATGATTATCTGCAAACATGTTGATAATTTAATATAAAATGGAATTCATCATAACTATGGCAATAATGAAAGTGAACATTCTCTCAAAAATTATATTTTTATTGGAATGTGTTCTTGAATAATTACCCACAATGCAACATTCAAAGAGAACATTTTGATACCTATTTTTCTTATCAGTCTTTTTTGTTTACTTTTAAATGAGATTAAAGATATGGTTTAATCATATTCAAAATTGATTCTTCTTCAGGATAATACGTTACAGTCATATACAATTATCTAAAACTCTTTGAAATATTTTCAAAAAAGGGAAGAATAGCACTGCTCATTTTGAAATTCTTATGTTTATAACACAGAGTTGCATAATCCTTCTCTTGAAAGCCCATTTCCATTTGACAATATACACTGTGTTGCTTTTTATAGCAAAACCTTACTACTCACTGACCGACTGACCGACTGACCGACTGACGGACAGACGGACGGAGGGCTTCACTATATCCCTAACGAACTTCGTTCGTTGGGATAATTAAGTATGAAGGCATGTGTGTATTTTCTTGCTTTTTTCAGGAAAGTATCATTTAACTGCCTACTTTTAGTAAACCTGGAAAAAGGTCAATGGTAGCTCCTGTGTTGTCTGGAAACTTTGAAAGAAAATTTGGAAAAATAGAAAGTGTGAAACATCAGAATTTCCTGGAGTTCTCATTGAACTCCTACCAGATGTTCTAAAAGAAGACAATGTAATGATACTTTCCTGAAAAAAGCAAGGAAATTGACACAGTACCAGAAAATAACATGTGCAGGTATAGCAATTTTTTACCAAAATGTTGTTTTCCAGCTGTACCTAATGGAGTTTGTGTTTCAATGTAACTTCTGCAAAAATGGCGGACCAATGACAGGTAAAATCACTTTGAAATTTAAGAGAACTTTTTACCTATAATAGCAAAACTTATTTGTTTTATTTGTGCATTCTATCTATCAGATAAGAGTCTTAGGGGTATGTAGGCAAATCCATATTGGTAGGAGCACACTGTTCATAGTTTGAAAACTCACCCGTTATTTTGTATCAGCAATATACATGGACTTATCCCATGCCAGTACTATAGTCCTGAGAACATCTCAATCTTTTGCCTGTGCAATTACAACATGGGAGAATTTTTTACGCTTCTTACACTTCAGATACCTACTTCAATAGATTCCTTGGTATTTTAGCATTCTTTTCGTGTAGTTGAATCCATAATTGTCTGGGTTTATCAGCAGAACGAAGAAATTTTCATTTTTGATCGCAATATTTGCTTGTAATATTTAACTTATTTCAACCGTCAAATTCCTCCATTTATTGGTACTTGCGGGCCACATCCAGGAGAGTCAAACGGGGCCCTTTTAAATCCAACCACCATCTTGAAAAGTGATGGAATCTCTCTCGATCAAAAAGAAAAAGAGATCTGTTGCAAGACTAATGCCTGGCGCCGTCGCCATGTTATTTAGTGTTTTTAAGTAGCGCAAGGATCCTGCCATGGCCATGGTAATGTTATCATGAAAGCCTGGTATAACCGCGAAAATGCTGTATTATATTTCAATGCCTGCCATGACCGTGACAATGTAATATAGTTCTGCAAGGATTGGCATGACCGTGACAATGTAATATAGTACTGCAAGGCCTGGCATGACCGTGACAATGTAATATACTGTAGTACTGCAAGGCCTGGCATGACCGTGACAATGTTATATAGTTCTGCAAGGCCTGGCATGACCGTGACAATGTAATATAGTATTGCAAGTTCAGGTATGAGAGTGGTAATGTTGAAATTTACGATTAGGACTGCTATAACCGTGACAATGTGTATTGCAAAGCCTGGCAAGACCCGTGGCAATGTAATATAGTACTGCAAGGCCTGGCTGTGACAATGTTATAAAGTATTGCAAGGCTTGGTATGACCGCCGTGGCAATGTGATATAGTATTCCAAGTTCGGGTATGAGAGTGGTTATGTACCCTTAGGAAAAATGTTATGGGTAACTCATAGGTTTCACATAACGACCCATATTGTCACCCATAGCCCCCAAGTACCCATAACTTAAGGGTAATTGATGCTGTATCCAACCTAAGTTTTTGGTAATGACTTATAATGGGTAACAATGGGTAAATAATGATTTACATTATGCCATTATGTATTGGTAATGTGCAAGTTATGTGTGGGTTATTTGGAATTTATGTGTACGTTATGGGGACACATAATTTGCCAATAACCTACACATGCTTAGCCCATAACATCTACTTATGTTAAATTATGAGTATATCATTGTTATAACATGTAAGTTTTAACCATAACTATTGGTTATGGGTAACACTATGGGTAACATTATGGGTTATGTTCATATAAACCATAAATGACCTAATGAATTACCATTATTATGGATAACACTATGGGTAATACCCATAACATTTTTCCTAAGGGTATATATATGATTGCTATAAGTGACCGTGACAATGTGTATTTCAAAACCTGGCATGACCGTGACAATGTATTATGGGATCGCAAAGCCTGGTATGACCGTGACAATGTAATATAGAATTGCAAGACCAGGTATGAGGGTGGTAATGTAGAAATTTAGGCTTAGTCCTACTATGACCGTTATAATGTATTGCAATGACCAGTAAATATGTATGACATTAATGCCAGGAATATCCTTAACAATTTTAAGTGATCGTCATGATTTAACATTTTAATACTATGATCATGGTGTTTAACTACCTTAATCATGTCAAAATCAAAATTACTACTATACATTAATATTCACATTCGCTTATAAACCACAATAAAAGCTACGGTCGCGCCAGGCTTCCACGATAACACTTCCAGGGTCATGACAGGCCTTGCAATATAATAAAGCATTGTCACGGTTATACCAGCCTGTCACGGTTATACCAGGCTTACACGATAACACTACCACGGTCATGGCAGGATCCTTGCGCTACTTAAAAACATTGAATAACATGGCGACGGTTGTGGCAGGCGTAAGTCTTGCAATAGATAGCATGTGAAGAAAAATGTCCCCGTTCTGCCGATATACCCAGACAATCGGCGGTTCCAATATATTAGAAGTTACATTTTGAGTTATATAATGCATTGAAGTAGGTATCTTAAGTGTAAGGGGCGTAGATAATTCTCCCAAGTTGTAATCGTACAGGCAAACGAATGCGCCTGGTACAGGACTATAGTATGGGATAAACATGGACAACATTGCCTCCCCATCCTGGGTTCATCCTCCTAAGCAGGTGTCCAGAATCCGTACCTCCTTCTTCCCCCTGCTATAACCAATTTGGAAGCGCCCGATTTAACTGAATCACGTGATCTAATAACGCGCAATGACTATTACATGATTTCTGTCGCAGTGTTGCGACAGCCAATCAGATTGCGAGTTCTTAATCGGCGAAATGGTAACTGCTTATCGCAGGGGGTAAAAGAAAGAATATATTCTGGATTTTGAAGCCCTGTGATCGGAGGATGTCCTGGGTTCAGACAAGTGATATTCCAAAGATTGCAATTTGGACGATTGGCAATGGGATTCGGAGCAATATTTTATCCTTGAACTTCAGAAATATATTCCAAAAATTATTATAAAAGATAGGCTATAAAATTTCAAAATATTTGTATTTTTATAATACTTAGGAATTTTTACCTTATAACTTGTCCAGGATACTGCAAGACTTGGTCCAGTCGATGTGGTTTTATTATTCATTGATTTCTCCATGCACGAGCTTATGAACTGGTGATATTTCGAAGAAAAAACAAAATTCAAGCATAAAGTTACCCTGCAACGTACAACCGGATGTTACTTCGATGACAATATAATACCTCAAGGAATCAGTCACAAATTATTATTTAAGCACATATAACGACATTATTCACATTAGTGAGAAATCAATAGTCTTTTTCTATCATTCCTTAGACAATAATATTTTGGTTTTGGGCTTACATCAAAAGAAAACTTTATCTGCGGAGTAAAATATTAGGGTACTATTTGCTTGATTGTTTTCGTTCTTTGTAATTATCATAAAATTCTCGGGGTAAAATATAGAGTACTATTTGCTTGATTGTTTTCGTTCTTTGTAATTTCCACAAAATTCTCGGGGTAAAAAGTAATTTGGGTCTCAGGCCTTAGCCAGGATTTGCCAAGGGGGTGGGGGTCACTTTTTGAAAATTCCAGGGGGGTTCACTTGTGACAATTTTGGTCCAAATATAGTCAAAATCACTTAAAAAGTGCTCAGAATGGTGAAAAACTGCATGATTTCGAAAGATTTTTTGGCCAGGGGCTCGAATCCATCGAACCACCCCCCCCCTGGCTACGGGGCTACAACACATAGTGGAATGAATCAGACACAAAGTATTGAGTCATTAGCTCAAACTATTTTCACAGTCTCCGATAGTAAAATTTTAATTTTAAATGTTTGTGAATACTTTGAATTTAAAAAATAAGCAATCAAATGACCATATTGAAACAATTTATTAAGAGGGTTTTTGCCAGAAACGATTTGTTTCTAGTTTTTTTGCAAAAAATGCTTCGGTTCGAGGCTATTTTGGGCTAAAACGAGGCCGATTTGCAACAAAAACTTTGGTTCGAGGTTTTTTTAACGTGTTTTTTTTAAGTTAAAAACGTTTTGTTTCGAGGCTTTTTAGCGCGAAAACGAGGCTTTTTTTGCAAAAACGATTTGTTTAGAGGCTTTTTTTCAAAAACGCTTAGGTTCGAGGCTATTTTGGGCGAAAACGAGGCTTGTAAAGTTATAAACGTTTTGTTTCGAGGCTTTTTGGCGCGACAACGAGGCTTTAATGCAAGAAACGATTTGTTTCGAGGCTTTTTTGCAAAAAAAGATTTGTTTCGAGGCTTTTTGCAAAAAACGCTTCGGTTCGAGGCTATTTTTGGCGAAAACGAGGCCTTTAAGTTAAAAACGTTTCATTTCGAGGCTATTTTGGGCGAAAACGAGGTTTCAAAAGTTGAAAACGTTTTGCTTCGAGGCTTTTTTGGCGCGAAAATGAGGCTTTTTTGCAAGAAACGGTTTATTTCGAGGCGTTTTTGCCAAAAACGCTTCGGTTCGAGGCTATTTCGGGCGAAAACGAGGCCTTTTCAGTTAAAAACGCTTCGGTTCGAGGCTATTTTGGGCGAAAACGAGGCTTTTACAGTTAAAAACGTTTTGTTTCGAGGCTTTTTGGCGCGAAAACGAGGCTTTAATGCAAGAAACGATTTGTTTCGAGGCTTTTTTGCAAAAAACGATTTGTTTCGAGGCTTTTTTGCAAAAAACGCTTCGGTTCGAGGCTATTTTGGGCGAAAACGAGGCCTTTTAAGTTAAAACGTTTCATTTCAAGGCTATTTCGGGCGAAAACGAGGCTTCAAAAGTTGAAAACGCTTCGGTTCGAGGCTATTTTGGGCTAAAACGAGGCCTTTTAAGTTAAAACGTTTCATTTCAAGGCTATTTCGGGCGAAAACGAGGCTTCAAAAGTAAAAAACGCTTTGTTTCGAGGCTTTTTGGCGCGAAAACGAGGCTTTAATGCAAGAAACGATTTGTTTCGAGGCTTTTTTTTGCAAAAAACGATTTGTTTCGAGGCTTTTTTGTAAAAAACGCTTCGGATCGAGGCTATTTTGGGCGAAAACGAGGCCTTTTAAGTTAAAACGTTTTATTTCGAGGCTATTTCGGGCGAAAACGAGGCTTCAAAAGTTGAAAACGCTTCGGTTCGAGGCTATTTCGGGCGAAAACGAGGCTTTTAAATTTAAAAACGTTTTGTTTCGAGGCTTTTTGGCGCGAAAACGAGGCTTTAATGCAAGAAACGATTTGGTTCGAGGCTTTTTTGCAAAAAACGCTTCGGTTCGAGTCTATTTCGGGCAAAAACGAGGCCTTTGAGTAAAAAACGCTTCGGTTCGAGGCTATTTGGGGCGAAAACGAGGCTTTTACAGTTAAAAACGTTTTGTTTCGAGGCTTTTTGGCGCGAAAACGAGGCTTTAATGCAAAAAAAACGATTAGTTTCGAGGCTTTTTTGCAAAAAAAACGATTTGTTTCGAGGCTTTTTTGCAAAAAAAACGCTTCGGTTCGAGGCTATTTCGGGCGAAAACGAGGCCTTTTGAGTAGAAAACGCTTCGGTTCGAGGCTATTTTGGGCGAAAACGAGGCCTTTTAAGTTAAAACGTTTCATTTCAAGGCTATTTCGGGCGAAAGCGAGGCTTCAAAAGTTGAAAACGCTTTGGTTCGAGGCTATTTTGGGCGAAAACGAGGCTTTAATGCAAGAAACGATGTGTTTCGAGGCTTTTTTTTTGTAAAAAAACGATTTGTTTCGAGGCTTTTTTTGTAAAAAACGCTTCGGATCGAGGCTATTGTGGGCGAAAACGAGGCCTTTTAGTTAAAACGTTTCATTTCGAGGCTATTTCGGGCGAAAACGAGGCTTCAAAAGTTGAAAACGCTTCGGTTCGAGGCTATTTCGGGCGAAAACGAGGCTTTTAAAGTTAAAAACGTTTTGTTTCGAGGCTTTTTGGCGCGAAAACGAGGCTTTAATGCAAGAAACGATTTGTTTCGAGGCTTTTTTTTGCAAAAAAACGCTTCGGTTCGAGGCTATTTCGGGCGAAAACGAGGCCTTTTGAGTAGAAAACGCTTCGGTTCGAGGCTATTTTGGGCGAAAACGAGGCTTTTACAGTTAAAAACGTTTTGTTTCGAGGCTTTTTGGCGCGAAAACGAGGCTTTTATGCAAGAAACGATTTGTTTCGAGGCTTTTTTGCCAAAAACGCTTCGGTTCGAGGCTATTTTGGGCGAAAACGGGGCCTGAGGCCTCATCACCTGCTCGTCGCAACGCAGATTCGCAAGCTAGTGCACCGCAACGCAACGCAAGTTTTGGTGAATCGCAATCAGGATCTGTATCATCCGCTCGGCGCAACGCAACGCAATCGCAAATGGGAAGATGTTTCAATCGCAACTGACCAAAAAGGTGCGACAGCTCTTACCCTGCCGCAAATCAATCGCAAATATTACCCATCTTTAAGACAATTGTTATCTATTTTAAATGTGTCAATCTAGGAGTTTCTTTATTGATGTTCTTTTCTAAAGGCGGCTGTGTAATAAAAAATTAGATTATGTTTTTCGAAAGTGCTTAAATCAAAGGAATCGTTAATGGTATGAGGAGCGTTTAAAACCTTCGAATTTTATAATTAAATCCAAATTCTGATCGCAAATCCAAGAAAACGAAACGCAACATTCATTCCGGCATCGCTAAAAATGGGCACAACTTTGAGGTTCTTTGCAACAGGCAACTTAAAAATAGGGACTTATTTGGAATAACCCAAGCATCTGTCTCGAGGTGGTGGGAGAGGTGTCAACTATTATGTGAAGGTACAGTATATTTTCGATATGCACCGACTTCATTGAATCAAGGTATTTCTATTTCAAGGCATTTAAAATATACTAGTATAAAGTAGAGTAAATACTAGTGTAGATAACATCCAGGAGTTTCACTTAATGATACCCTTGGCAAAGGACAACTTGAATGTATAATTTCCCTTGAAATAAACGTCCATGTGGGTATTTTGAAATGAAATGAGAAATTATATTGACCCACCATCGAACGAAAATCAATATTTGTTAATTGGGGGTTTCGATGGCATGGAAATAATTTTAACATATACGTTGGAATATTGGAATTTTACTGGAAAGGTGCAAACGATCCTTTGCTTCCCAACTTCACATTTCCTACAGCGACCATAGTGTTAAAGGAATTGACAATAATTTTAAAATTACCTCCTGTTCAAGTTGCAATCATTTTTATAGATTATATTGATAGATTTAATATCACTGAATATGGAATTGCTTGTTGAGAACCACACAACATTACCATTTATCATTTATTTGAGATTTAAGCAGGGGTCCATTTTTTAAAGAAATAATCATTTTAAAAGATTTCTTGTGAATAGATAATAAATAAGTGCAAAAAGTATGAATTATTATATATCAAGAGCATAATGTAAAATTTCAACTGAAAAGTTAGATCAAAATGGAATCCAAATTCACAGTAGGGGGTATAACTCATCAAACACTGTATAATTTTTCAAAACTTATTGTTACAGCCTTATGTTTTTAATTTGCTTTTGTTAGTTAGGATTATATCATTGACCATTCATGAATTTTTGTGCACCATACAAGGTTACAGAACTTCATTTATGAACGATTTCAGCAGGGGTCTATTTTACGAAAATTAAATATTTTTCCGGATAGTTCTTAGATGGAAAGCTAGTACATTGTTACGATTAAATTACATCATTAAGGTGTATAAATCATAAAAACAGGTTTCATCCTGATGTCTACAACCTAATTCGTATAAGGCCATGTCAAATGGGGGGGGGGGGGCATTGACCTCCATTTGGGGATCTTTATTACTTATATGATTTCAATATTACAATAATGTCGGTATCATTATAAACAGGCACTAAATAAGTGTAGAGTATTATAAAAACGTTGACAGCAAGAAGATTTATAAAATTGAAACTGTAAAACGAGATAACATTTGGGCTCTAAAATCACAATGATTGGTATAACTAATCAAATGTTTACTTTTTAAGGTTATTATCATATCCTAGCAATTTAAATTGTTTTAAATAGTTATAATTGAATTATTTGCAGTTTCTGAATTTTTCGAATATCTTAAAATGGTTCAGATTTTCATTTATTGAAGATTTAATTCAAGTCAAATTCAAAAAGATGAATATTTTTGTGGATAGTACTCAGATCAATTACTATTATTACCACCTTGCCGGGAATGTTATAGGGGTATTAGTG